TTTTTTTCGACAACAATCTTACACAGATGAACACAAATAGGCGGCGCAGCCTTCATAACATAAGAAAATAAATAAAACAAAAATAGAAATTTACTTTAATAATAAGTAAAACAAAAACAAAAATAAATTTATATGTAAAAACAATGCCAACACAATTTCGTCCGCTTTCGTGTATTGTTTCTTGTCATATTTTCGTGATTTTATTATGAACATGTTAATTAAATCAGCGCAACTTGGACCACACACGTGGTCGTGTTGCCGTTACTGCTGCTGCCGGCAAGAGCAATACCATCAACACCAACAACAACACCATCCCAACTAAAAACAATACCATCCCAACCAACAACAATGCCATAACAGCCAACAACAACACTATCATCACCACCAATAACAACAATAACAGCAGCGACGTTTATTAGCCTCCAATCTGTGCGTGGACTAGTTCAAAGCGTGTTTGTTGCCACAAAGCATGCGCGTAGTTCCTGCTGTTGTTATTGTGCTTATTGCTTTTGTTGTTTTCCATTACAGCCGCTATTATAATTTATGATTTCTTGTTGTTACTGCTTGTCAGCTGGAGTGCTGTTGTTGCTGGTATCACTCAAAAAATTTTGACAGCTTTTATTAGACAAGTTGCGTGCGTGTGTGCGTGGCTTGAGAGTTTGCACCGAACTAAAGCCTGCAATGTGGTGCAAACTACACACAATGTTGTGGGCTATAATATGCACATACGAGCGGATCACAGGATGCCCAATTGGAAATTGCTATGTATCATCATATGTATAAATATTGACTATTCGAAGACAGTGAGCTTGGGAATAAGAGCGGAAATGTAGTTGTATTGGGAGATTTATGTAAAACTTGCTAACGAGAGAAATGCGCTATGGTGGAATTAGAAGATATACTAACAAGTAAGAGTTACTATAAAAATAAATCTTAACAGTTATATCAAAAAAAAAACCAAAACGAACTTATTATCGGAAAATGTGTAAGGTTCAGCCGTAGCTATAAAATCTCCATATATACATATATATGCTCGATAAACTCGTTAATTTGTTATAGAAAAATAATTGAAATAGATAATCATCATTTTCCATGCGTGTGGTCGCGTTTTGTTTGCGCATGCGTGACTTTGGCTCGCTGGCTTTCGCGCGCTACAAATTGCACTTGTTGTACATACACATACATACAAACATTTTTACATACAGATATATTTTGCATATGATAAATTGTACTAGTAAACAACATAATCCGCTGTTAACATTTTGGCAAACATGTGTGCACACAAAGGAAGGAGGAAACACCGCAAGCGACGTCAAATGCGGTGAAATCGAGTGATTAGAGCCAGTTGAACAAGCGTGATAATGCAAATACGCACGGATATACATAAATCTATAAATATATGCTACACAAAACAAATATTTGCCATAAACATACACGCACACTCACTCACAAACATAGACAACACAAGCATATGCATATGTATTATGTACAGCATCAATTTCTGACAACATTTGATTTTGATTAATTTCACCAATCACCTGCGGTCCCACCAACCGTACGCCAACTAAACTAATGGCATGAGATACACCTATTTTTGCGTGCATAACACAAATGTCTGAATGACTAATTTGTACATTAGGGTGATTCTTAAATTTAGTATTAAAATTTTAAAATATTTTTTTAAACTTAACTGCTTTTTTAATGTCTAAGAAAATACCAATTTTCAATCTAGCAGAAAATTATGTTAAATTATTCTGCTATTTATAACTTCAATTAGAATTCGAAGGTGTCATATACAAAATTACTGAGAAACTTTAATTGTATAATAATAATTTAACCCTAATGTACTTTATTTGTCGAACTAATTCTAAAAGTAAAAAAAGTTACAAAGGGAGATTAGAATATTAAAGATTTTATATTTTAAGTACCACCTTTATGTGCCATTTATTTCGAACTAATTTTATAGTTCCGAAAAGACACATCAAGATACAAAAAATTGTTAAATTTTAAATTTCTATTACAATAAAAGTATTATTAAGTGCCACCCTAATGTGTGCCATTTTTTAAATTAATCGCACCTTTCAGAGAAATAACCAAAATAGACTGAGCACATATAAAATTTTATTGAAAATTAAATTCAAATTTTTTTGAGCGTCACCTTAATGTATTTTAATTTTAAACGCATTTTTTTATTTCGAAAGAGACACTGAAAAAATTGGAAAAAATTATTTTTTATTATTAAAAAAAAAATAGTACCGCCCTAATACACATGTGTATGCTTGTACAACAATTTACTGTGTTTAGCTCTGCTGTCCATCAAATTGTGTTTAATTTTTCCGCATGTTGTGTACCCGTTATCTAGTTTGGCTAGTTGGTGCGCTTTGTTTTGCGCTTGCCATATTTCAATTTTTCGCATATTTTACTACTTTTGGGTGTTGCTAATATCGTCGTAGTTTGATTTTATTTCCATGTTTTATTTATTAACTATGTGCTGTTTTTTCTTGCATGCGTCTTGAATTTCAAACATTTTCAGTGAAAACTGATTGCAGCAATTAATCAAATAATTTTGTATGCAAACTGGATTTATGGCCTTTTAGCGGAAGATTTCGAAGAAGAAGGTGCTTGTAGTAATTAATTTTTAGAAAAGATTTCGTTTTGGTAATGAAGCGAAATTATTTTGGAAATGATCGCTAATAGCGCTGTGTTTTGCTCAAATTATAATGAGCGCAGATTGTTGTGCAAATCAAAACAAAGTACGCCTTTAAATGGAGTTAGGCCTATTTGGAGGCGTAACCTTGAATGAATTTTTTGCAAATATTTTTTGTAAATTATGGAGGCAACATCAGTTTGCCTTCATGTCGAAAAGTGAAACTGAAGTCTTTTCTAGCAAACCCACGACAAGAGAGTTATACTTCCGACTATCATAAATTAAATTTGTGGACCAAATCGACAGAGATTTTAACAATCAGTGGGAAAAATTATTGCATATAAGGAATTAATTAATTTATAGAAATCCAATACCATCTTTCATACTTCGAGCGAATATTTACTAAACAAAAAGGAAAAGTTCCGTTAGACCTTAAACATATGCCATTTTATAGAAAAACAAGAAAAAACGTTAACTTCTGTTGCACCGAAGCTTTAATTCGCTTCACAAATACAAAAGATTCCTTACAAGAACTTTATTTTGATCGGTTTGTTTGTATAGTAGCTATATGCTATAGTGAATCGATCTGAATAGTTCCTTTGGAGATTGCTTTGGATAATAACCCGTGCAAATTTGGTGAAAATATCTAACAATCATCTTTGTCAGATCGTGTTACACCATTGACCTTTTTGGATTTCAGTCTTGTCTTTGCACTCGCTTAAGAACTCACGTTTGTTACCCGAAACTGGTATCTGAATTTGATGAGCAATTACTCAGAATTCATCAAAGCGTTATTGGAACACGGTTTATGTATATCAACTTCGTTTTTTATAGCACACAATCCTTTAGATTTTCTATCAAGTAGCTATTTTATAATAATTCAAAGAAAATTGACTCCCACACACTTCATTCACCCAGATTCCATGCAGGATTTTGAAAATGAATTTAAGACTAAAGAGATATTATATCCAAACCTGTAAATAACATATATTAAACACCTTAAACTATCCGGCCCCTAAGTTCCCTAAAGCAATATTTCCACTATTGCGGTATATTTTTAGGACAACAAATAGTGGCAAACTATCATCGAAGTTGACAGAAAACAAAAAAAGCATTACAAATAGCCTCACATGCATGACATAATGCAATACACGTTACAAAAATATAACTAAGGCCGTATAAATTGAAAAGGACACGCAATTTATGAATGAAATGTTTCCTTAGGGAGTTGAGGCAGTAGTTTGAGGTAGACTAATAAAATTTATGCCGCTTTATTACCGTTATTATTTGTCGTTATAAATAATAGACAGATAGTTGCGTTTAGCTTGAAGCAAGTTTACGTTTCGTAGCATTATGTAGCTAAGGCTATGTGCATTATGGAATGGCATGCTAATACTTTCATAACGTGGCAGCTAAGACACCCAGCTAGGATAGAAGGAATTAAGCAGCTTGTGTTTTATTGAGTTTCGTAGAAGAAAAAGTCCTTGATGAACTGCAAACTTCTTTTCAAAAGGCGCCTCAATCACCCTCTACAGCTCCATTACCTTACATTAGCAATCAAACAAGTAAGAATTATATATTTATATATCATACATAACGGTATATATTTGTACACATTATTACACAGGCATTAATTGCATACCTAATAACCTTACACTCCTAACCCAATCTGCAAATACCACAAATTGTTTACCACCCCCATTAGCTGGTTGATTGCCCCGGTCGCCGTTGGCAACGCAAACATTCCAACACAAAACAGAAAACGAGGTGAAGCTATAACAGGCAACTATGCCGACGCGCAAACGAAGGCTAAGGCGAAAAGTGTAAGGAGCAAGACAAAATAAAAAGTGTGACACGAAAGCTCCTGTCGTCTGCCGAGGGCTTGTTATCGAACACATGGCTCGGTCAATTGATTGCTGGCGCTTGTTTAGTTTGTTGTTGGGTTGACATGGCACTGACGGAATTTGCAGGAAACACGGAAAACTTTGTTAGTTCAGTGTGTAGGCGTTGGCACGCGGCCGCTAATATTTTTGGTGGTGATTAGATATGCCAAGCGAATTATGGATAAATTTAAGGAAGTCTTACATTTAGTGCGGAAGCGTATATTAAGGTGCAGAGCAGTGTGTATTTGAAAAAATAAAAATAAAATATTAAAAATGCGTTTTGGCCATGAAACTATCGAAAAGTGTTCCTGTTACTAAATATAAAACACAGTTAATTTTTGTTGTCAAGAAATTGCCAAATTCTCCGGCACTGTGCAGAGCTATGTGTGCAGATGTAAAGTATTTATAAATTTTCGCGTTATAAAATTGTATTGAGCCAGCTGTTTGATTGCGTGTAATTAATAATCGTTATGATAACTGGCGCCGAGGGTAGGCAAACGCACACACTGTTGGACTTAAAGAAGCAGCAATGGGCGAAGGAGCGTGGTAAGTGTTGTCTTATAAATAATTTTTGTGATATATACTCTACTTTAGAATATACTTTGCACCTAAAATATAGCCTATTGGATAATGTCATTTTTCAATTTTATTCGTATTTGAATTACTTTAGTACCGTTGTTGAGTTTTAATAAATAGTAATAATAACTGTGAGGTGATTAGAGTACCGCTGAAATGTTCGAATTTAATTATATAATTGTATTGAAGATAATGTGTGATAATGCGGAAAATTTCCCGTAAGTTTTGTGAAGGCTCAAAGCGCTTCCTCGATATATGAGGATCTTTCGATCCGTGCCTAAAAGTTTTTTGCATTAAAAAGTATGGGTATTTTAGCATGAGTATTTCTGTGTACTCCGTCGCGCGGATAAGCCCCGTGATGAAACCAAACTACTGCAAATTTTATATACTTTCTACCTAGGTCTTACAATTCTCTAAATTGAAGTTTTTTGAGTTTTCTATTGTCAATTAAAATTCAGTTGCGAGGTTTAATCGAAAGTTTTAATAAATCAGAGGGCTCTATACGTCAAAACTGATATTTAGGGATCTTTTTTAATATTTAATTTTATTTATCTACTCTCACATTATTTTATGTTTGATTAAACGTCGTCAACGATTTCTAATAATTCAATATGTCTTATTATCTCAGAGGAAATCGCCCGCATGGACGAGCTTATCTCTTCCTCCCACCATCATCAGCACTCAACTATGGCATCGTCGCATCATTCGCACAAAATCGAACGCACCTCCATACGCACCTACTATTCGAATATGGATGTGAGTAAACAGCGCAGCTCGCGTCAGCAATTATTCCAACAACAGCAACAGCAACCACTACAACCGTACGCACCAGAACTGTTGCCACGTTATGCGCAACACAACGTCAATCCCTACGCCGTGCCGCTGACACAAAGCAATATGCCAGTGCAACATGTTGCACGACAGCAACAACAAATTTTACGCGGTGGCAACAACTATGACTATGAACTCGATCGATACGTAGATGTGGTCAATGATGAGCTGGGCGTTGATGGTGATTATGAAGATGACGATTGTGGCTACCAACGCATGCGACCGCTGGCACGACGTGCTACCTTCATGCCACATGCGACAGGACGTCGGAATCACACGACCAGCATGATGTCGCAAATACCAGGACAACGCAAATATGCCTACGATGAGCTGACGTTGCCCGATGCAGGTCTACAGACGGCCAAAGCACGCATGCAACACGCACCCACACTGCCCCAGCAGCAGCAGCAACCGCCGCTTGCGCCACAAATGCGCATACGCAGCCCAAGTTTGCCGATAATACGCCACCAGGACTATGTTAAACGACAGGCGCCACAGCAGCGAATGGCTGGTGGCATGCCGCAACAGAAAATGCCACCACAGGCAACACAGTTAGCGCCAGCGGCGGTATGCGCCATTGGCATTCCTGTGGGTGCACCTAGCAACGCGCCCCATCGATCTAACAATCCAAACAATCCAGTGAATCCTGGTTGCCAGGAGGAAGACACCTCGGGCTATCGCAGCGATTCGCCGAAGAACCCACACACGCCGGAAATCTGGTATAACGATGCCGCCAGTTTGCAACGCAGCGGCAGTAGCACAACGAATAGCGGTTTGCTTGGCGCTAATGGCAGTGGTGTGGAGGTTGGTGCGGTACCCGTTGCTGTTGGTGTGGGCGGCGTTGTTGAGGGAGCCAACGAGTTGGCGAGACGCGCTAAGCATGCAATAACAGGTCAACAACTTGCGAAGTGTCAGAAACAACAACAAATGCAACAGTATGCATGCGATGAAGTGCAACAGCAGCAGCAGCAACAACAACTTATGAATTCCACCTACGTTGTGGCGCGTTCATATAACAGTGGCATGGACGACAGTTGCCAGGGCAGGTGAGCGGGCGCGTTTGTTTTATCGAAGTGTCTGTCAAGACGACGGTTTCTATGTTCTACTGTGCAACGCTAATACAACTATTTAATATGCATAACTTTTTTTTTATTTTTCTTGCAGCTATTACATGACGCCGCTGAGTCCCTCAAATCTCAGCACACGCGACATTTCCACATCCAATACATATCCCATACATCCTGGCGATCAGCACGAGTACTATATCAACACAACAACAGCTCAACAGACTCATGACGAGCGCGAACGTGCTAAGTGGTCTAATTATAATAACAACAATGAGTACACAGGGAAACCGATTAACGGTCCGAACTGGTTGAATCGTGGCCTACACGAGCTGAAGGAAAGCGAAGACGACACACAATCGATGCACTCGTCTTACTTACGCGGTCAGAACGCGCCCGTTGATCCCGTCACTATGGCCGAACGTATCGACAAACGACGCAAGGCAGCCGAGTATCACAATGCGATCAAACAACAGCTGCACGAGCGCGAAATGTTGCGCAAGTGGGAGATGGAGCGCCACAAGCAAGAGGAAATGTTGGAAGAGGAGCGTTTGCATAGACAGAAACAACTGGAGCAGGAACGTTTGGAATACGAACGGCGACAGCAAATGGAACGTGAAGCCGTGCAGAAGAAGAAGCAACAAGCCATGTTGGATGCGATTGCAAAGGCAGAAGACGCGGCTAAGCAAGAGAAGCAACGCAAGCGTAAGCAACGTGCCCCGCCAATGGAGAAGGAGCAACAAAAACAGGAAGCTGAATCGACACTTGAAACTGCAGAGGCAGTAGAAGCTAAGTTGATAAAGGCGAAAGGTACCACACGCAATCGCGCCAAGAGGAGTGTAACAGTTCAACAACGAGATGACAAAGCCGAGTATGAAAGGCAGCCTGATAAAAGAGAGAAAACTGAGCGGACTCACGAAGTACAAATAATGCGTCTGCAGAGTGTTGAGGAGCCTGTGAAGCCATCCGCAACGCCACCTCCTAAAGAAGAGGAAGCTCGATTGAATGAAAATTCAGCAATGGAAACTAAACCGCAAGCACTTGCTGCAGATACTAAAAATGAGGAACGCCTGGAAGAGGATGAAGAAGAAGAAAAGGTGCTCATAGGCACACCCATAAACTTACGACGAATTATTAAGAAAAAACCCGGGAACGCCGCCGAAAATACGAAAGAGCCGAAGAAGCTGCACGTTAAAGCCGACTTGCCGCCCGAGAATGTCGCTGTTATCATGCAGCCAGCCACGCTTATACCGCTGCCTGTGACGACCGATATATTTGGACTACAAAATGCTATCGGGAATCTACAGATCGCTACATATTGGATGCAGCAACAGCTCAAACCGAATACGGCTGCCTCGACGATGGATTTTTCCAAAACAACTGGTGATGGCACACAACGGACGGCAACTTCAATCTCCACGGAAGACGGCTATCAGATGGAGAGTGTGGTTGAAGACGAGCGAAAGAGTGTAGAGGAAAAAGTGGATGAGAAAATAGAAGCCAAGTCAATTAAAAATATAGGTGGAAATTCCAAACCCGAAGAGCTGGCACTCATCCCACTAGAAGCCGGGACCGCAGTTGCAGGTGAGCAGCACTTAATCGAACAGCAAGCGCATCAGGATGTGGAGACACAAACAGAGTTGCCACTCAATTGTGATCTCTGTCTATTTCATGACAATTTCTATAAAGTGCTACTGAAGCGTGAAGTTTCCACCACAACAACAACGCAGACATCTAAGACAAAAGATAAACCAGCCAAAGAGGCGGATAAAGATCAAGAAACGACAACTACGACCACAACCACAACGACCACGACGTTTAAGGCGAAGGCCAAAGACAAAGATAAGGAAAAAGACAAGGACAAGGATAAAGATAAAGACAAGGAAAAGGAAAAAGAGAAAGAACGCGAACGCAATAAGCGTAATCAGAAGGATGGTGTGCCACACAATGCAAGTCTCACCGTAAGTACACACAGTAACCACAATCACAGTCACAACCACAAAGTGGACGACCGCCCTAAGTGGGGTGTCAATCGGCCTGTCGTGCAATATGTGAAGGCCAGCGAACGCGATCCTTTCTATTTGCGCAATAAGAAGAAGCATAATAATAATCATCACGTCAAAGCGCCACGTTCGCAATCGGTTGATGCGCGGCTCGATAGCGCCGCCGCTGACGCTGAAGATGGTGAGACCGATCGTGATGTCGATAGCGCTGATGAGCAGGAGAGCTCGTCAAATGTGGAGGAAGGCTTTTTGTTGAAGGCACGCAATGTCTGCACGGAAATTTTACCCATCAAAACGGATGAGAAGGGGCGCATATTTTTGAATTTCCGCGAAGCAAGCGCCATTATGAATGAGGATGAGATCAAAGATAAGTTAAGACAGCGTTACTTTAATTTCGGCCGAATACTACCACGTCGCAGTTGGGCTTCGGCCACACAGCAGGGTTTGCAATTTAGAGCAATGGCTCCGACAGCGGTCGCAGCGCAACCCACAGCACATTTAGCTGATGATTAGCTAACACCTTTTTCGAAGGCAATTTATAGTAGAGCAGGGTGTATGGGTGAAGTTTGGTCATAACTAGTTAGAAATAACTACACTACGTTATAGTTTCTTTTTTAATTTTTTTTGTAGCAGAGAAAGCATAAGCGGAAAGTGTTTTTGCCAAGTTGAAAATCAAGCTACTGCAAATTGGCGTACCGATTGTCACATGCCATTACTTAAAAAGTCTTCTTAGAAGCACATTTTCATTGATTTTCACTTTTTATTTATTTATTTTTATTTTCCCTCAAGATTTTAATCATATGCATTTTGAGGAAGCCAACTTATTTTCTCAACGTCTGTCCAAAAATTCGTATGTATACATATTAATCCACACTCGCTTTCAATATCTGCCTAAATCTGAAAGAAACCGTTTTTCTGGTACTAAATTTGATGGGTTTTGCTTGCTTTAACCTTCGATCAACCAAAGATTTAATAATAGTCTTTATAACAGAAAATCTGTTATCTGATCCCTATGCCCCTTTTTCGTAGTTTCTATGTATAGAAAGTTCGTTGAGGAATGTATGAGTTGTGTAATTTACACACCTTTTCAAGATTCTACCTCCATTTGGTGAAAATATTACTGAACTTTACTGAGGTTGTATACGAAATGCTACTACTAGCTACTGGCGAAATTCGGGCAAGCTCCTAGCGCATTTTATGACTTCCTCTGTTGAAGAACTACGAGTACTGATACTCAGCTAAAAAAATTAATAAAAAAAATTCCGGTTTTCAGGAAGAAATTTATATTTGAAGACTGACTACATATTACTTGTAGCTCAATGTATCCGATTTTATCGAAATAATATTGTCTTTTGGCTGATTTTGACAGTCTTTCATTATTTAACCATTAATTTATTAAATAGTTATGCAAAATAGAAATGACTTATTCCTAGGTCTGAATAGGTTGCCATCCTTTCTACCCGAAGCCATCGTATTCCAGTGGCGAATGAAATTAAGGTTACCATTAATGACATTGGAACTTATAAAACTTTGTCCTTAGCAATTAAGGAAAACGATAAAGATATAAGAACTTTGTATTTGAATACTCGCATTTAAACGCTCATGCACACATATAATCATACACACATACTTACATACCCCTAATACAAGTAAAATAAAGTCTTAAAAAATACTCACACATCACAAACAATGAAGTTTATTTAGTGACGTTCTTGCAAAATTAACTGTGTATTACTGTTGTTGGTGTGTCTGTAAGTACCGCCACACGGCTGAAGGCCAACAGCACAACAATAACGACAGCTGGCCAGCGAGCGGGTGGTGGGCACGCCATTGTTCGGGCGCATGCATACTCACATAATTTTCGCACCCCGATTCGCATGACATTGGCTTTCGGCATTTAGTGGTAAGTAAAATCGAAAAAAAAAACTAAACGAACACAAACTTTTAATTTATTTTATGTGGCATGCAACCTTTGTCATAGCACAACTATTACATGTGCTGCAAATAACTGCGCTTACGTGCAACATGTGTGTGCTTACAACTATATGTAAATATTATATACAGCAAGTTGATGTTTGGCAAGTTGTGTGTGTTGCAACCCCAAAACTAGAACAGTCATGTGACTTTATTTTCAATTGTTAAGTGAGTTTCGTATTTAATCTACCACGAACCAATGCCTAAGGTCAACATTATTATATTGCATTGAACTTGCCAACGCCACATTTGCGCAATATTTTATGTGTGGCAATGTGGCATATACATATAATGCTCAGCACGTTGCCGCCAAAGTCTCATTGCGTTTAACGGCGTAAATTTGAGTTGTTTGTCGCGATTTTCAGCACTGCTTTGACGTTGAATTATGCATAATTCCCGTAATAATTTCAGTTGCGAAAGATTACTTGCAACTAACTACCAATGAGCTTTGTTTGTGAAATTGCGCAAATGTTGCAGATTATGAAATTAGTATTCGAGGTTGAGTTACAATTTTTTTTTTTTTAAATAGATTTTAATAAAATATTGAAAAGTTAGCCTGAAGCGAACACTTGTGCATTATATTTAGTCATGTAATACTACACTCGTCGGGTGCTTTTAGCAAACTTACTTACAAAATAATACTTTAACAAACTCTCTTTATTACTACAATATGTCTGTACAATGTACATATATATATAGAGTTCAAATAAGCATTTACTTAACTGCATAAAAGAAAATGTATAAACCTTTATAGTCGCACTAAACTCTGGAGGACAGCGCAACCCAAGTGTCGCTTATCATTTAACATTTGCTGGTCATTCGCTTGATTACCGTTGTTTTTTCCACCACCTTAATTATTGAATGTTTTTTTGTTTTATATCTTTTTGATGATGACGAAACTATTTTTATTGCAGTTTTATGGCTGCACACGTGATTTTGCAGAATTTCAGCATTCAGCGCAACTAAATGATCGTGCAATATACACATGTTATTGCAGGCAACAGCTAAAATGGCAACTAAACGGCAGCTTGAATTACATATGACAATAATGAGAGCCAATCATCGGACTACACTTGACTCTACTGCCATTAACTGGATGCATTAAACTGTATTTATATGACAAACAATTTTCTAAATCATCACAGCGCTGCATAACCGCTGAGTTGAAAGTTAAAACTGTGCAACATGACTTAACTAATTACATGGATTTTGCTGAAGAAGCAGTGGAAATGATGCACACTTTATTTGAATTCTGAGTTATTTTTCTAGTTAGCGGTCGGGGAGAAGCTGTAGTATACCTTGAATGTTGAAAATGTTGGCGATCAATCTCATTCTGCGGCTCCCTCCATATAATATTTTACCAACGAGTTAACTGCTAGTTAGACTTTCTGTGGTGTATTTAGCAGGCAATATTCCCCAACTCTACCCACAATGGATTCAAGTCTAGACTTATGGACGACGAATCGGCTGCAGCTACGAACCAGGAATAATGTTTTTAAGCCACTGCTTGGTGGTTTTTGTCTTGTGTGCTGGAGCTGAATCTTACTGGAAGGTCTAACACTCACCAACGAAGAGAGTATTGCTTAACTGCCTTACCACGCCTTTCAAAATATCCTGTTGGTACACTTTTGCTTATTTTTATTTGGCAAGTTATCTTCACAAAATTTAACATGAATTAGTACTCAAGACAATGCTACAGTCTTCGAACATATTGTTCAGATCAGATCACTGTAGCATATACTATATATGTATTATATGCCATACAAATTGGCTGATCAAAATAAAGATAAAGATCTTTTTTCCCTATTTATCCTATAAGAAATGCTGCTGTGATAACTTTGCCTCGGCGCGCAAGGTATGACTCATAAACCGTCATCCTCTAACATAGGTATATACACCAATATGGCACGCTCACCTTCACAACCAGCTTAGTAAAATACTTGCATGCAATTCACTAAAAAATTCAGCATAATTCGTGATCTCGAGGCGCAAAAAAGAGATCACGTCGCGCAGAAGGCGGAAGAGCGCCCAAACACACACCCCCTCAAAGGCACATACAGGTTAGTGTCATATAAAGGCTGGCATCATATTTGCATGCCGTTCGCATAATTCACACGATTTCGCTGGAAAGAATGATTTTTCGCGCATTAATAAGTCACACACGGTGTCTAGCATGTATGTATGTGTATGCGTGTATGTATAAGCATGCGCGCTGAATACTCCCGCCTAGCAAATAGCCATAAAGTGCCCCACAATTGTGGCATGCCAGCAAGCGGAGTAGGTGTGCGAGTGTGTGGCGGTGCTGTTGCCAACAGGCGCCTGACCAGGCCAAACTGATCACACGATCATCAGCGAAATCACCACCAACAGCATCGGCGGCAACGATCAGTATGCAAAGCTGAACGATCGCTATCAACGAAAATGATGCAGCTACAAATGTGTATGGCGCACAGCAACAACAACAACAGCAATATAGACATGGGTATCATAAAAGTAGCAGAACACGGTCTTGAGCCTTTACATGTGCTGCGCCTCGCTGCAGGAAAATAATTTCCATACGACACACGCTTGTGCGCGAGCTTCTCGCCATTCGTCGCAGGCATGTGGAGACAGTAGCTGCCACTGTTGCGTTGGGCTGCCACAAATATTACACGCTGCATGTTGCACGCTTTCCATGGTGTATTGTCCATGAATATGGCGTACAACAACAAAAAAGGTGAGCCTTTATGTTGTTGGCTGTGCGTGTGTGTGTGCATGCTTGTGTGAGACCAGTCGATTTCGTGATAATCCATTATTAATGCCAATCAGCATATAAATTTTGTATACCGCCTGCAATAACAACAACACCACCAACAGCGACTCAAAATGTTCTTACGCTATTGTATATAAGCGTTGTAAGTATGCGTGTATGTGTGTATGTATAATTTCAATATTTTTTCGGTGGCTATTCGCGATTATCCGCTTGCTGCCCATTATGCTGCTGGTGTTTCGCCTATTATACCAAGCGCCGTAAAGCGAAAAGGTATTTTTTCGTTGGTATTGGCCAAATTTCTTTAAAAATTTCTGCATGTGTCGAATATATAGTCAACTAGTAGACGCACATCATTTTATATGAAATCTAGAATAGGTCTTGGAGCTATCTTATACCCTTATGTCCTTTTATATATAAGAAAACTATATTTAATGGTAATTCCAGTTGAATTCAATTCCCTCAGCTTTATTTGGAAAACGGTTTTTGTGACTATTTTTATTTTTTAACTCGAGAAAAACTTTAGAAGGTTTAGAAATTTTGACTACCGAAGTTAAGACTTTATTCAGATCAATAGCTTTACTTTAACAAAGCGCGGGTTCAAGGTATTGGTCGAGAGACTGGACTTCGGATAGCTTAAACCAAGTAGATGAGCTAATATTTATATTAGGGTTTAACTCAAGATAATAGATCTATCTCAAGTGCCTAGCGTTAAGGTATGGGTTCTAATTCGACCTCTCAAAACCGATTCAAACTAAAGAAGACGTTAGAGCTGTACTTTTTTTTTCGTCTTAGATCACTAAGTCAACCAGTTAGACCGCATAACTATTTTCAATCTTCTTCAAAAACATATACGCTGGGTACAAATTTATGCCGCTATAATAGATTTTTGTCCATAATGTTCTAATAATTACATACACACTTGCATTGTGTGTGTGTGCGTGCGTGTGCTTATGTGTGACTTGAGATTGCTATCGTATGGCGCTTATCGTGCGCACAATATCGGCGGAAATAACAGTAGCAGTGCATATTTGTTTGCAGTGTGGCGATAGAAATCACAACAACAAAAACAGTAATAATATATACAACAACATCAACGAAAATATTTACAACAACGTTCAAATTCAGCATGCTCAGCGTTTGGCGTCATGAGCAATTCGTCCGCTTGTCGCCTATTGGCGTGTAGTGTTCATGCCACGAATGCGCCAAAGTAAAAATTTGCATGTCGCCAAAACTCGGCTATTGCTAGGCAGTGGCAGCACGGTGCACCGCTTGCCAACAGAACACGCAGCCAGTCAACTGTTAGATTTACAACAACTACATCATATGGCTTGAAAAAATCGATTTTGTGGCAAATTCACACACTCATACGGGCCATTTGTGGTGCACGAATTACGCGCAACAACTTCCTGCTACCGTTGTGCGGCTTTTACGGTGCAGCCAATGAGCTAACTGGGTGGCCGGCGTACGAAACTGCACCGAATTGCGGCGCAAACAATTTATGCGGCATTTATGCTTTATTCCGCATTACTTTGAATTTTTGTTTTCGCCGTGTAAGTATGTGCCTGTGTGAACATCTCATTGCTGTTGCTACTTGCATTTTATGGCACTTTGTGGTTTGCGGTTGCACCATTTGCCTTGCTTGCATTTGTAGCAGCAACAGCCGCTCGGCGTCCAGGTTTCGCTACATTATTCCACGCGTGTAAGCGGTGAGACCTCCCAAATCGTCGAATTGGTATATCGGATCAGCGTCAGCTTCTGTAGCGCAGATATGCAAAATTGTTGCACTGACCTTTGGCGGCATTTGCCTTTAAAGTTACCATAACTAGAGTGCTTTCTTTTCAATATTTTCAATTTTTTTTTGTCAATTTGCTGTCAGTTTTTTGTTTGCTTCTATTCTTTTAGGTATATTTGTTTACTGGTCATAATTGCATGACATTTAGTTTGCATTTGTGTCATTCAGT